CCGAGCTGCGCAGCACAACCAGATGTTTACTTTCATAGATCAATCAAAGGTTCTGCCTGGGTCGACAATATATTATATGAGTACTTTATACTCAATACTCCCACTGAATCACGCGACGTAACTTGTAACTAGACCACCGAAGTCTGTACCTTAACAGTGGCGTCCCTCGCAACCATGGCCAAAATGTCGGCACACGACACGACACCTGGGCATTCGCACTCGAGCTCCATCTTTATATCGTCAATATGCTCAAATCCTCGAAGGGAGCCGTTGTTTATGAGCGCTTCTTTCTCAGCGAGTGTAGTTTTGGTCGAATTCAGAAGCACCGATCCATCGCAGCCCTGCACGCGCAGTCACAGTCATGAAGCCATTCCCAGAAGGATCCCGAAGCCATAACAGGCTCCTGCTATGGATGGCCACAGCAATTTGACAGCTGCATTTTGAAAGTGAGCTTACCCGAACGAAGCAATCATGGAAATGCAGGCGCATCAGACCTCCAGCCATTCCCTTATCGGCGTCCACGATTTCATCAACTTTTTGCTTTACTATTGTGGCAGCTTGTGGGCAAGTGGAGTCATAGAAGTCTGTGGTCAGCTGCCCTTGTGAAACCACGGCTATTAGAAGAATTGTAGCGGTCCAAAGGAACCATTGCGAACTATTGGTGTCCATTTTCCCGGATCACTTGTTTTGGTATCCGATTACTAAGAAGTTGCAATTTTTTGCGACCAGCCGAAGGCAGCCTAATCGTCACAGACGATCACAGCTACCTCCTTGCACAGAACCATTAAATCAATACGAGTGAATAAAATGCAATGACAGGTCAAACTGCAATGTCTATCATAATGTTGCGAGATTCGACGGAAACATTGAAGTTCTAATGACGTAGTGCAACCGATAAGATTACATGTTCAAAAATTGGCCTAGACTGATAAATCAACAATGGGCAACAAAACGTCATTAGGTCTGAGCTTACGTGCAAGGGTCGAATGAAGCTCTTAGTTGAGCTTTTGCAACTTCTGAGTCTGACTTCGTTGAATGATTATTTATACTCCAGCTTCTCCCAAGCTCTCACGAGCTCAGCGCTGCTACAGTATTCAGGCTCAGACGTTATGGACCTTGGCGATATGAGATCATGCCAGCCGGAAGAACCAGTCAATTGGGACAAGCACGAATCTAGCCTAAGCTTACGATATTCATCACTCATTCCAGCATTCCGGATCAAGTTTTCAAATATATTGATGACCTCACGTTATTGTTGAAGTGAGGTCACATAATTGTTGAAGCAGTTACTGAGAATGCAATCGAATCCTTGTCACCAAAATGGAATATGAGAAGATTTCTTTTAAACTGGGGATCTGGCATCTGTCATCAAATGTTTGCCACAAAGTTGTGCATGATTCAACTTAAATGCTTTGCAGCTCTTCTGGGCTAGATTCCAGAATGATGCAGAATTGAACTTCCAGATAGCCATACTCAGCGTACTGTTTTTAAAGTTCACAAGTATATACTTTAGTTGTAAAATCTTGTTCAATGTTGGCATGTTGGCACATGGGTATGATATTTGAAGAATTAAGTTGAACATCCAAGTAATGCCTGGCTTTACATGATCAATTGTAGCTCAGATGCATTCCTCTGATTAATAGAAGCCAGCTAACCAGCCATGAAGTTCTCAACCAGCACACGTTTACAAAGTTACCCTAGGCACGCATTTTAGTATAAACATTCCCAGTTGCTCTACGTCAGTATAGCCTTCATGAACATCATATCCCTAGTGAATGTAAGTAATTTATATTTTGGTAACTCTACTATGCTGTAGAAATCAGCTGCTGCAAAGTGACTCAGTCCGTTTGCAAGACCACGTACATGCAGAGACAGGGCTAATAGAACTCGTACAGTCAATATTGATCTAACACGTAGAGTGTGCTAAACAATTCTGCGTGCCTGATTGTAACTTTGAAAGCGTGTGCTGGTTATGTGACCTCTACTAATCCATGGAATACATCTGAAGTGCAACTTATAGATGCAAAAACCAGGGATCCTGAAAACATTAGAACCTTAAATCTGTATTCACATGTCAAATCTCAAATACCATACCAAAATTCATAATCTGTATTCACAAAACATTTCTCACCCCGACCATTTCTGTGGACGCAGTTCATTTTAATACAATGTTTCTTGTGTTAGAAGTTTGGAACAATCATGTACTAGAGCTGGATGAAACATAACCAATATCTGACCAACACACCTCCAACGGTGGGAAATCTTTGAATGGGATCTTTAGCTCAAATATCACCGAACGTTATCACTATCTTCATTCTCACCTCGAAGTTTGACATAAAATTTTATTATGTGATTTCAAAACTTTCAGTCCATTGGTCTTAGAGGAGTGATCGAATTCTGTGATCTTCTCAATCTGTTTTCTTGTTTTAAATCTGGACACTTGGAAGTCACCCTCGTCCAACGTTTTCGACCACTCACCACCATCTGTTTCGTTTATTTCAGGGGTTGATTGGATGGCAACCGGTGTTGAAATCCTAAACGCATATGATAATGTGCGTACTAGCAGTTATCGGGACAGTCCGCCCACTATGTCTTATCGGTAGTGGATGGGTCTTGTGTACTCGACCCGCATACATATAACATGTCAATATCAAAGTCTTTCAGTATGTTAGTGTCAACTTGACATCCGTGCCCGTAAAGAAGATTTGATTTCAAATTTCTACGCTACCAACATCTCTGCCAGGTGCTGCCTCGGTATGATGCTAGATACATATATACTTGGCAGTACAATCTGAGATGACTTATGATAGTTCAGGACGTGACCTTCCAGAACTCACTCGGAGGACTTCCAGAAAATAATACCCCTTCTGTTGTTACGAAACAACTCCTCATGGTAGAACCACAGGCTTAAGTAATCTCTTCGTTTTTCGATCTTTCATAAAAGAGAACTCCAATATAGATTTAATGAGTACTATAGCTCAAAGAGTGTATTTTCTTTTAAAGTGACGAGACGAAGTGAGATGAATCTGCTCTAAGGACCTTGGAGCTTAGAGTAGATTCGTCTGACTTTGTCTGTCTTTGTCAAAATAGTCAAGACAAGTCTGACTTTGTCAAAACAGTCAAGAAAAATTTCTTCTGAAAAGCACTTTGTATTATACAGCGTTTATATATTGCATTAGAAAGTGTTGAAACATTTGCGTTCAGGAGGAGAATGTTTCTCAGTGATGATACTCGTATTGATTTCTATTGGTCATATGGATGTAGTAGACATCAGAGATGCCTTTGAGAACACGTGAGTAGAGTTAAAGTTCCGAGGTAGATTTCGGTTTATATTTACTCTTGCTGTCTATGTTTATTATTCGCTGTTTATTCCATCTGTCTCCCATTCCCATTGTCAGCACTTGAGCTAGGATTTCAAGAGCTGGAACCTGGCCAATCACCTCAAAGTCTTCTCGACGCCATGACTCGGATGAATCACACCAGGTGACTACTCATTTCTATATCTGGTAGAATAAGCCATTATTTTCTTCCACTTTCGTGAACTTTACTCCCGCTAGTGTCCAAATTGGTGATGGCCATGACTAGTAATATCCGTAATAATTACTTTGCATGTTTAAGTGAGTTTATATGCTCATCATGATAATCTAGTTTATCAAGAATAGAGTGAGATCTCATGTCAGAAGATGATAAGGTTGAGAAAACTTCAGAGTCTTCCGTTTCCATAAAAATTTAAGTTAAAAAGCATTTCAATTCAGGAATGCATGTCAAATTCTAATGATGTATCACCTTTTGTATGCCTCTTCAAATTTTATTCTTTTCCATTTTCAGTATCAGCTTTATAATATATAGCCGATATTGAAATAAATAGTAATCTATTTACATATAAATGTTTGGAACTAATTTTGGTACTACTCTTATAAGGAGCTATTCTTACAAGATTTTGTATCTTGAAGGAGTTAGGGAATATGTAACATCCTTACGAATTCGATTAAACTCATTTGCCGCACGGCGCGTGACTGCACAATCTGCTTGAAAGTTGGACTGTGCACTTTGGACCAGTTAGCTCATGTCATTTAAATTGGGAGCAGGATCCATAAATCTCAATCACTTATAGTAAAACTTTAGTGGATGTAGATACGCTACAGAGAGTTTCAGGTTGTAATGTGAATTTACCAAATGTCTTTATTTAAAAAAATTTGGAAGGGCTTGGAGTTCGAAAGCGCAAGAACTCTCGGATCTTTTTGCATCTAAAATCTTGGACTAAGCTATGCCAACTAAACAATAAAAGATCCATATCACTTCTATAATAAAAATTCCAAATGCTAGTGATGAATTAGGATCTGTTGATCTTCAAAGGTATGGAATTAAATATGTGTCTCGAAGCCAGATGTGGTCAGGACTGCAGTGCTAGAAATTTTATTTCCTTCTGCGTAGTTAATGTCTGACACTACTTATTCGACACGTTGGAGTAAGAAAAGAAGAGTCATAGTTCTTTCAACTTAGCCGCTGCTCAGGTATACATATCGAACCAGGTTCTATACTGCTGACTTCTTGCAATTCACATCTGGAATAGGAGCAAGATGTCGGAATTACATCCTAGTTCTCGTCATTTTTGCAACGTGAAAAACTGGCTGCTTGGACACTTACGTACGTACATATGCTCATTCTTGCTTGTCTGTCATTTGACAGACTTATGGTTGAATAGCGTCCACAAAGCTTCCAGAATAGTGATTGATGTTGGGCTAGTTGCAAAGACCCGACCAACATGGTCGAATCTAAAGAATCTGGCGCTAGTCCACACAGAGTGAGGGGAAGTACTGAGACTTGAAAAATCGCTTTAAATTTTAATGATTGCGTCGGGTTGAGAAATTGCAAATTTCCTGTACACGAGAGCTCAAGATGAAAGTAGAAATCTCGTGGAGGTCTTTTGTGGGGAAGAGTGACAAAAAATAGTCAAACAGTGCGAATGAAATCATTCAAGGATAAAAATATCTTGTTTTGGTGGTCAACACCATACTCATCACTTGCAGTACTGAATTTCTGTTCTTGCATCTCTTGACTATATCACTACATGCAGAAATGGAAACTTATTCTGATGTGGAACTCCTGAGTTGAGAGTTGATATGGTTTGAATCACCTCGTGGTATCCATTAAAAACAAAAGCTCTAAATTCGAAAATAACAGTTGGATCTTGATATGCATGACGCTGCTGACGGGAGTGACTGCATGTCATTTTCGTTACCGAAGGAATGACTTCGTATTTGCAATTTTCCGTCACCGGCCTCGGGCTCTAGATCTATTATATCTTGGCACTCAGACTCTGAATGCACTTATCAAGTCTTGCAATGAGAAGTTGTGATCTTCCTTACCTATTGAAAGAGCTGTGTATCGTACCTGTTGGTCTCTACGTTTGAGAGTGCTTTCACATTCAATACTTATATGCTTCTATGAGAGCAACGCTGCCAGAAAGCTTTATCAATTTGCAATCGCCAAAACCACAAGAAGTCAACAAGGCCTTGTAGGCGTCGAAAGATCTCTCCCGACCATTTAGGAAAACAGAGAGCATCATCACGTCAAGATGCTTGACAAATTGGGCCTCATCTTCTTTGCTGTCATGGTCGTACACACTCTCGCCTATAACGACTTTGCCCCCTCGTTCTGGTAAAGCTTGGTAGCAATTCTTCAAGATCTTTAAGCACTCCTCGTCGCCATTGTTGTGGAGTACCAACTACATGTTTCGAATGCAATCAGGACATATATCAAGCATTTACTGGCAGTTTTATTTATCTCGAATCGAAAATCTATTGCAAAATCTATCTCAGGAAACACTATATTATCTTAATCAGAACTCGCGAATCACAACACGCCCGCTCCACCTAGTATTCGATGATGCAGATCTCTCTTCAAACTCAGGGATGAATGAAGGACTCGCTCACCTTCAAAAAGATGGTATCACCAGCAGGTACAGACGCAAAGTAATCACCACCTACGTGGTCTACTCCTGAACAGACAAGCCACCAGAAAAAGAACTGGTTAATGGATTGTGACAACTGAATTGGTACATAACAGAAGGAAACGTCCGATGTCCAGCGAAAAATGAAAGATACAGATTGGGAGCTTAAGAACCGCCACAAACCTGGTATCTGAGGAGCATTTTGAATCACAGCTGGCAGATCGAAGTTGATGCCATGGATATGTGGGTGAACTGCAACCAGCTCTTTGAGAGATTCACCGTCACAGCCACCAACATCCACCAAAGTCTTCGTATGATCAAACCCATCGTACTCTTGCGCAATAATTTTGATCCAATAGTTTGAGTGGCAGCTCAAGGCTTCTTGGAATGTAGACCGCAATTCCTGATTTTCTGCAAAGTATTCGTAAAACGGTTTTCCCAGCGCAACCTCCATCGGCGCTCGATCTTCCAACACACTCTTATGCAGATGCTGGAAACTGTCTGTGAAGACTCGATGCACGTGCAGCAGAGCTATGGGCAGCAACGTGAACTCAACATCATCCTTGACGAGCATTCTCGACACGGGAGTCAGCCCGTATGCAGCTTTATGGGACTTTCCATCTGCATTCGAAACTGGAGTTTTGCTGTAGAATCCTGGAACAATCAGGATATCCATTATTCTATCCAGATAACCAGCAGCGGCAGCTGGATTCTTGCAAGGAAGCTTTTCGACGATGTTGTCAGCCGTCATTGGCTCCTTCGACCTGGCTAAGACGTCAGGAATCCCCATGGTCATAGTTGATTTGAGAGCAAAAGATGTGGCGAAGTCGAACGCTTTGTAGATCGTTCTAATCTCTGGCATCTCCTTGTTAGATAATTTGCCTTTAGTCATCGAATCCAGCTCCATGACGATCACGAATTAGCTTACAGTAAGCGCCTCAATGCTTGAATCACGCAAGCACAAAGCGATATATTGGCCTTTTCTTTTCTCGCGGCTGGTTGCCTCTTGCTGTAAATCCAGCACACCAGGGTATAGACACTCAGAACATGTTCATTCAAACACACACACACACACACACAGAACTTGGAGATCTCTCCGAATGCACTCGCCGATTTATATGACCTCCAGCCACGATTGTATTTCGGGTTCTGGGAACTCGCTATGACTGTGATGGTGTTTCAGTCTAAAGAGCTTAGTAAGTCAAGGTCACGTGTCCAGGACACCATGTTTGATTGTTAGCTAAAGATACCGAGGCCAACTGAATCCAAGCAGAATCGCTCGCAAAAGTTATTGGCCAATGGACTTTCACTTACGTCGCTGTCGTAAGTAACAAAGCAGAGCCTTGTATTTCTAGGCCCAGAAAGGCGTTGATGGATGCGGAAGGTGACTGCACAGGAGCTGCGCGTGGTGGTGGTGGTACCACTCCGCTCGAAGGAGATCGGACACAACTATCTCGTAAATTTCAGAATCTTAGGCCTCAGTTACACAGCCCTTGCAGGACCGTAAGGTACCACCAACGATCGATGGCTGAAATTTGATGAAAGGTCACGGAATGATTCTGTTGTACACGTAAGGAAGTAAATGCAGTTCTTCTGTCAGATGAACGACAAGTTGCGGGAATCTCCGGCGACTACGAGGCGCCGCTCGCATGGCCAGCATGCTGGTCGGTTGTCCTGCACGGCACAAAGCTGGGTCGGTGGGGAGTCCACTCTTGCGGAGCGCATGTCAAAGGTTGTCGGTCGCGACCAAGGACCTGAAGCAGTTCTCATGACCACCTATGATCAGATCTCATTATATTAACAAAACAAACAACAATTTCTCAATCTGTCTTCTACAATGTACATTATCATCATCAGTTATTATCATTCCATACTTGTCATTTCACTTACTTCATGTCCATCTCCTAATGAAACGGTCGATATTCATAACATGTACGTGCTGGTTTATCAATTCAAGTTCGGAAAAATGGATTTATGCCTTTTCTGTTTCGTATTAGCATTCAGGATTGAACTGGCTGGCCACTGATGGAAACTCCACGGGGTTGAAAGCCTAATTAACATGTTGGTACTGACAGTGAGCGGGTGGGACTGTCCGACAGTATGTCACATCGATATTGGATGGATCTTCAATTTTAGCCCCTCATACGAGCAGCATGCGTATACCAAATTCATTCAGTACGGAAGAGTCAACACAAACCGTTTTGACCCTTCTGAAAAGTCGAGAATTATTCTTTGACTCCAGACTTGGCTATGTTATCCACTTGGCAGTATAACCAATTGCTGTTTTATCTAAATTTTTTTAATTTCATAAATTTTTCTATATATTTGACATTGTATCTCATGATTTTAATGCAAAGCTCATAATTTATAAATAAATAAAAAATTACAAAATATGTATTTAAAAATAAATAAATAACATTTAATAATAATAATAAACATTCATGATTTTAATACTAGTCATTTTTTATCACATAATAAGATAAGAATTTTTTCCTCTTCATGAGCAATATAAAATACGTCTTTCTATTCACAGTTATCACTATAAGTGAAAAAATGAAATAGATAAGCATACTTTGCATAACTTAATCTCATAATTTTATCCAAAATTAAATGTTAAACTAAATATAGCTCTTGTAATTTTCCATGTAAAATGAAGGTTTTACATAGAACTGTGATAACTATCTTGTATTCTTAAAAGAATACCAATACTGATACTTGTATTTAAGATTTTTAACATATATCTGAGATGATTTTAAAATATCAATTGATAATCAATTTCAGTTTGATTCTAATTAGATAGAGTTTTTTACAATATAGGAAAAATCTTAAACATCAACATATTTCGGAATTTTAATTTTATATTCAGCATTTAATCATTTACTTGTGATGATTGTTTCAGAACTTTTTTGGCGTGATTTCCCAAAGCTAGTTGCACTCAAAAGTTATTTTGCCGAAATGTATTCAATTTTATTTAATTATTTGTTTCTTCTGTATTACAATCAATAAAATGTACGAAACGTACATTTTGTCGCCAATCGGCGAAAATTCTAACTCCATGTACCCTACATGGCATATGAAGTGGATGTGAACCATATTTACATGTGATTCAGTGGAGGTCATGAAGTTGCAAAAGTGCTACGGACATCGTCTTAACTCAAGCATGTTCTCTTGGACAGAATGCACGTGAGTTGCATAGTACGGTTGCCATGAGAGACGATCTCGACGTTGTTTTCTACGGATTTCAGAAGTTGCATGGCTCGATGACTACGCAAATCTTCCTCCAGCCGTGAAGATCGCTCGCTGGAATGTTGCCCATTTTGATCATGGCCATTCCAAACTCGAATAGGAAGGAGTAGGGGTCCTGCACAGCTTTGATGGCGTATTCCACTCCCAAGGGATCGCTCATCAGTGCCAAGTACGAGTCCATGAGGCCCTTCTTGATCAGAAGGTCCAAGTAGTAAGCGGCGTCGAATGTGGCGTTCGTGGAATCGGCCACTTTGAAGAGGAGAGGGTTGTCGCGAGGGCACTGGGCCTTGAGAGACTCGGCGAATTCCGGGTCCATCGATGGGTCTGTGATATTCTGACCTTGAAAGTCCCACAGGCGCTCAAAGAATGCTGCGCAGTGGAGTTGTCCGATAGAGTGTCCGCCTGCACGAGGACACACACAAGTCTGCGTTACAAACCTTGAAGAATCTTGCAGGTGGAGGTCTTTCACGATTCTGCAAGGCGTGTGTTCACTTCGAGGCTTTGAGAGACAGCAAAACTGTTGATTTGCAGGGCTGCTGCAACCTGATCACACAAAATACACACAAAACTGCAGTGCTGTAACCTGTAAAACAAGAGAGATAACAAACACAAGAGCATCAGAACTTGATTGTGGTGCAAAATGACTTGCTTACTTTTTCATATGAAGAGGGGTTTATATACTACTAACACTAACCTGAGTGCTTGACACACACTTACTAGTCATAATGAACATGTAGGGATCATTCTCTATTACTCGGACTTACTCTCACAGCATAAACTCCACACAGGAGTTTGAACCACCTAACTACACTACGCGTGTACATGGAGACAGAGAGCACTATTTTTATAATAGTTGCTACCTGCAACTACAGACAGGTTATACTAAAACTAGAAGACAACAAAGATTAGCTAACATTACTCCCCCTAATCTAGTTGTCAGGAAGGTTGACGACGCAGATTTTCGAGCGTAGGTCTAGGAATCTGACTCGGCCAAGAGATTTTGTAAGAATGTCCGCTAGCTGATCATCAGTGTGAATTTTCTGTGTGATGATCTCTCGCCCTCGATACACTCTCTAATGAAATGGAACCATGCTTTGATGTGCTTACTCCGGCCATGAAACACCAGATTCTTGCACAGTTGGATAGCTGATTGATTTTCGATGAAGATCGTGGCGACGCTCCCTGCCTTAACGTAGAAGCTCCGAAGGAGACTTCCAAGCCAAAGGCCCTAGCAGGCTGCTGTAGAGACTGCAATGTATTCGACCTCGCACGATGATAGCGCCACCATTGGCTGCTTCTGAGAATGCCATGTTACTGGCGCATTCCCAAAACAGAATAGAACACCCGCTATGCTCTTGCAGTCATGTCTGCATCACTGTATCCATTGAGCTTGATCTCACCTTTGCCCTTTGGGTAGCTCAGTCCGTAGTGCAGCGTGCCTGCTCTGTACCAAAGAATGTGCTTGACGGCGCTGAGATGCTCCGTCGTGGAGTTTGCCATGAAACGACTCATATATCCGACTGCAAAACGTCCGGCCGAGTATGAACTAGATACCTTAGACTTTCCACAATGATGCGATAGTAAGATGCATCAACAAAAGGAGTTGTGCTTTGCTTACTCAGTTTTGGGCAATTCTCCATCGGATCTTGTACAGTGTTGCAGTTGGTCATGCCGGCCTTCTCAAGTAGTTTGGCTGCGTACGCCGCCTGTGACAGCATGATTCGCCCCGGTTGCCGCTTGACCTTGATGCCTAGGTAATAGCTTAGGCACCCGAGATCGCTCATTTTGAATGACCGTTTCATCTCTTCCTTGAACGCATCAACCTCGCCTTGGTTGCAACCGATGACAATTAGGTCGTCGACGTACATGTCCAGGAGCATGCCTTTTGCAGCACGTGTACACTCCATGTTCATCCGTGCATTTACAGAAGCCAATCTCTACCAAAGTGCGATCTAGCTTCATGTTCCATGCACGAGGTGCCTAAGGAAGGCCGTAAATGGCCTTGCTTAGCTTTAGCACTTGCTGCTCGTGGCCCGCCACGGCAAACCCTGAAGGTTGTACTATGTACACTTCCTCTTCAAGGTCCGTTTATTACATCTGTCTCCCATTCCCATCTTCAGCACTTGAACTAGGATTTCAAGAGCTGGAACCTGGCCAATCACCTCAAAGTCTTCTCGACGCCATGACTCGGATGAATCACACCCGGTGACTGCTCATTTCTATATCTGGTAGAATAAGCCATTATTTTCTTCCACTTTCGTGAACTTCACTCCAGCAAGTGTCCAAATTGATGATGGCCATCCATCAACAAAATAAGATCTATGAAGATGACTAGTAATATCCGTAATAATTACTTTGCATGTTTAAGTGAGTTTATATGCTCATCATGATAATCTAGTTTATCAAGAATAGAGTGAGATCTCATGTCAGAAGATTATAAAGTTGAGAAAACTTCAGAGTCTTCCGTTTCCATAAAAGTTAAGTTAAAAAGCATTTCAATTCATGAATGCATGTCAAATTCTAATGATGTATCACCTTATCTATGCCACTTTTCGAATTTTATTCTTTTCCATTTTCCGTATCAGCTTTATAATATATAGCTGATATTGAAATAATAGTAATCTATTTACATATAAATGTTTGGAACTAAATTTGGTACTACTCCTATAAGGAGCTATTCTTACAAGATTTTGCATCTTGAACGAGTTAGGGAAAATGTAACATCCTTACGAATTCGATTAAACTCATATGCCGCTACTGCACGGCGGATTGAAAGTTGAACTGTGCACTTTGGACCAATTAGCTCATGTCATTTAAATTGGGAGCAGGATCCATAAATCTCACTCACTTATAGTAAGATTTTAGTGGATGTAGAGACGCTACAGAGAGT